GTCCTCGCTGCACATCATCCCCACGAGCATCCCGAGCCCGCTGCGGCGGCAGGATGGCACTGCCTGGGCTGGGGGGTGGCTGTGCCGAGGCACGGAAGGGCAGCTGCCGGGCAGGCACCGCAGGGTGAAGGTTTGCAAGCGGGGTGACCCCTTTTAACCACGTTCCCACCCCACTGCTGGACCCAATCCTGCTTTCCTCCTCTGAGCAGTGGCATCCCCCCCTGGGGACCTGTCACACCAAGCCCAGCTGGTCACAGGCAGCCGTGCCCCCCATTGCCTGGGGGGGTCTCTCCCCAGCACGGGGCTGGTTTGGGGCCGTCATAACGTGCCCGTTGCAAGTAGGTGGGAGCCTCGCAGGAACAGCCCCGAGGGGCTGCAGCAGTGGGCAGGGAGCTGCCACCTGGGCATCTGGCACCAGCGTGGGGTCACGGTGGCTGAGCTGGGCTGCAAAGTGTGTCCCCAGGAGGCTCCCCTTGCAACCTGAGAAACTGGCTGTGAAACTTCACCCACCTCTTTGCCCCGGAGCTGGGCTGCAGAGACACCCAGAGGTTCGTGTGTATTGAGGATTATCGCCCCAAAATGTTCAGTGGTGTTTGCAAAGTGCTGGGAAAGGTGCAGTGGAGGGTGCAGACGGTCCCCTGTGGCACTGGGGTGTTGTGGCTGTGTTAGGGCAGCACCAGCTCTGGGGCTGCTGTGCCACAGCTCATGTCACAGGTGGCTCCAGGCAGCTGGGGAAGCACCTTTCCCACGGCAGCAAGTGCCCACCCATTCAACTGTCCTCTCTTCCCCCAGCCAGAAAAATCAATTTGGGTTTCTCAGGCAATCCTTCACCTGCTGTGTCTGGTCATCATCAGCATTTGTTCTATTTCTCTGTGGTTTCAGGGCTGCAGAGGTGAAGGAGTGGTTTCATTAGCCACCAATTGGTTTCTCATCCATCACTAATACTCTTTCACTTTTGGCTTTGGGAGGGCAAAACAAAAAAGGAACAGTTTGTGTGGGTGTCCCTCTGTAGTGAGCAGAGACAGATCAGCCCTCTCTGCCCTCTACCTGTTAACCAGCTTGGATCCAAATTTTTTGGGGGATGGGACAAGGAAAGGGGAGGACCCAGGGGACATGTGAAGGACTGGCAGCAGCTGGATGAAAGTCAGCTTTCATTTGTTTGCATGGTGGTGAGCCCTAAAAGCAGAGCAGAGATGTTCTCCTCAGCATCCAGTTGTGCCACTTACCCACCACATCCCTCTGGGCAGCTGCTGTTTCCAGCATCCAGCCCCATCTGCTGCCTCAGGGTGTCCTAGCACACGGCTCTGCAGAGGGATGTGGCTGACTCTGCAGCTCGGGGCAGGGCTGGTGGGCTGGCCAGAGGGAAGCTGAGCAGCCCAGTCCTCTCACCTGTCAAGTGCCTTGGTAGGGACCAGCTGGAGGAGAGACCTTTCTCTTCAATTCCTCACATCAGGGTTTTGCCTGAGATTGGAGTTCTGGAAGGGGAGTCTAAGGAGGGATTAACATGCAAGAAGAAGGAGCCCTGGTCTCTACTGGGTACTTAAACACCATTTACTACAAGTAATAACCAAGGGCAGGAGGAAGCTTATTTAGTCCTGTCTGCGTGGGTATGATGTTAGAAATGTGCTTCCTTTTCAGTGGGACTGAACACATCCTGTCAGCATAATAGTGTTCTAATCTCATTGAAAACAATTAGCAGAGCTCTAGCAATCAAGTCAGATGCTGAATGGGGTTTCTATTGAAAAATACCAGTGGTAATGAGTAAAGGATGGGGAATTTTTCACTTACACTTGCAGCATGTTAATAAAATCTGGGTCAGCTCAATGGTGTAGGACCTTTTGTAAGAAACAAAATAAGTATAGATGCTCTTTCTGCCTTAATCTAATGTTTCTGGAGTCAGGGTTGGAATGAATATTAATGATGTTTGTCTGTTTAGACAGGGCTTTTTGTCCACCTTCCTTTTACAATATAGATCAGTATTATTATTCTCATTCTACAGCCAGAAAGAGAGGGAAGGGAAAGGAAAACAGCTCACATAGTTGAGCCAGGCTTGAGGAGGGAAGAGCAGATAATGTCCCCACATCTGAGTCTGTGCCATAGGCATCATGATCTCTGAGATGTGTTGTAATTCCTGGACTAAACTCGGTGTGTTTTGTATGTATAATAACTTGGTTAGTAGAGATTAAAGCAGCAAAGGGTTTACCCAAATCCAGAGGTGTGTTGTGGAAGATGAAGACATCTAGTTAGAGAATACCTGGAAACCAATAGCCTTTTTTTTTTTTTTGGGGGGTGGGATTTGTACTACAGAGGTTTGCATCCAGCCACAGTCTCTGATAAATGAAAAATTGCCTGAAAATTGTCTTTCCTAATCCTGTGCTCATACTGTTTGTACCTTCATTCTGTCCTTTTTGCAGATGTGTTTTGTTTGGTCTTAATGATTTTCTGATGCTGCCGTGTATGCTAACTCATTTTGTTTAGTCAATAAGGTGTGTCTTTGCCCAGAGAGTTTAGGGATAGCAAAGGCATAGAAAGGAGTGATTTTTGCTCATCTGGCTGTGATGTGTTTTGCCTGATTCACCCATCTCATTCCCACCATCTCTAGGATGAGCTCTTCAGAGAAAATGTCAGTGAGATTTTGTTTTGCCCCTCACTAATTTTGCTCAGGACCGACCCTGGGCTGCATGTCTCTGAGGGTGTGGGATATCTGCAAGTATTTGCAAAAGCAAGAGCATCCAACCTCAGCCAGCAAGTTGTACCTACTCCATTTTGCAGATCCATGGTGTCTCCCAAACCACTACTTACAGGAAGAGCTTGAGTGATGTGACATCCCTTCCTAACACCTTTAATTACCTCTGGGGTTTATTCAGGTCATTACTTCCCACTGGTGCTTAGGGAGTGGTGAACACTGAGCGATGCTCTCCCAGCTGTATTATGCAGGAGGGCAAGTGAAATGATCATAATTGTTGCTTCAGCCTTTAAAAATCTGTCAAGCCATGAATATTTCATAAACGCTTTGGTGTGCTGGCACACACAAAAAAATCAAGTAGCTATTATTACCAGGGTAAAGCTGGCCAGAAATTATTCAGCAGAATAGTTTTTTGTCAATAATTACTCAGTCAACAGTACATTTTCCTGAAGTGTGTTTACTTCTGTCAAAATTGTCAATGAAAGATTATCTAAACATAGTGTTTTAGAAGCCAAGATACCTTGTTGCATCCTTGTCTTTTCACCTCCTCTATTAAATCAACATGTTAGGAATTCTTTTTCAAGGTTTGGTTATACAGGAAACATTGAGGGTTTTTGTCATTACAGCTCAGAAGAAAAGGGAGGTTTCAATCACACGTGTGCAGGGCAAACACTGGCATATGGCTTCTCTTCCAGAGCAAGGACTTGTCCCCACAGTGGGGACAAAGGGCTGTTGCATTGACACACAGAAACCCCAACAGCCCTGTGAGGGGTGCAGTGGTGTCAGCCCCAACTCATCAAGAAGCAAAGCAAGAAGTTCTCAGCTACAGTGCTCCATCAGAGAGCCCATCTCCTGCAAGCAGCAGCTGGAGGGATTACATAAAATGCATCCTTTCTTCTCCCTCCTTTTTATGGACTGCAGCCTGGGATTGCTGGCACTGGGATGGTTTCAGAGAATATTTTATACCTCCAGCAGACATGCTGGGAAATAAATGGAGGCAGCAAATCCATACTGGATTTCTGTATGTGTGTAACAAGGATGAACAATGACCTTCTGTTTGTTGCAGGGAAACTGATGGGGGGCTGCATGTGCTGCAAAGGCTTCAGGAGTCAATAATCTTTTCATATTTAAGTTGCACATGGAAAAAATAAGTGGTGAGAAAACAGTTGTTGGTAGGCCTGAAGGGGAGCTTGCAAAAAGCAATGGGCAAGAGACTGATGGCTTTGGCATTTCCAAGGCTGGGCAAAAGTAGAGGTACTGGGCACTAACTAGGCAGTTTGTGCATGAAACGTGGCTCTGAGGCTGACTGGTACAGCTGGACTGGGAGGCACCAGGACTCAGGTCCTGGTTGTGATTCACTCCCATGGGGTGTTTCACATGCCAGTGGGCAAGACTGGCTCAGCATTTCCAGCAGACCCAAACTCCATCTCTGAAATCCTTGTAGCTCTGGAAAAGAATAGATTCAGAGACTTAGCATCTTGGGGCACTTTGGAGGTGTGCAAAGAGCTCTGGAGGCCTCACTCATGCTGTGTGAGACACCAGGCACTTGTGGAGCATTTCCTCATGATCCTTGGAGTCTTTCACACTACTGGCCAGTTGTCTTTTTTGCCCTCTTTGTTTCAGAGTTCGCACCTTCCCCAAGGAGTCCCACCTGGGCCACGACACAGTCCGAGCCCTGATGTACTATGCCCTGAAGGTCTGGAGTGACATTACCCCACTGAACTTCCATGAAGTGGCAGGTAACAACGCTGACATCCAGATAGACTTCTCCAAGGCAGATCACAATGATGGCTATCCCTTTGATGGACCTGGTGGGACAGTGGCACATGCTTTCTTCCCTGGAGAGCATCACACAGCAGGAGACACCCATTTCGACGATGATGAGTATTGGACCTTCCGATCATCAGGTATGTCAGGGTGGAAGAGCTGCAGTCAAATGCAGGTCCCAAGATTTTCTTCTGCTTCCTCTTTCAGCCTTGCTAGTGAAAGCAGCAGCTGTTGAGGACCTTCTGTATTCCTGGAAGCCTCAATGATCATAGAATCATAGAAGATTTAGGTTGGCAAAGCCCCTTGGGATCACTGAGTCCAACCATCATCCCTACTCTACAAAGTTCTCCCCTAAACCATATCTACCAACACCACATCCAAATGACCTTTAAACACATCCAGGGATGGTGACTCAATCACCTCCCTGGGCAGCCTATTCCGGTGTCTAACCACTCTTTCTGTGGAAAAAAAAAAAAAAATGCTGCCTGGGCCTGACCCCCTGGTTATCCTCTATATGTCTTCTAATGACACTCAAGATGATCTGCTCCATGACCTTCCCTGGTATTGAGTTCAGACTGACAGGTCTATAGTTTCCCGGATCCTCCTTATAGATGGGTGTTACATCCAGTCCATTGGGATCTCCCCAGTTAGCCAGGACTTCAGGTAAATAATGGAAAGTGGCTTGGCCATCACATCTGCAGGCTCTTTCAGCACCTTGGATGCAGCCCATCGGGTCCCATAGACTCGTGTGCATCTAAGTGGTGTAGTAGGTCTTTGACCATTTCCTCTTTCATTGTGATGACCTCATTCTGCATCACCTCCCTCTCTCCTAGCTTATGATAACTGCTTGTTTCTCTCCACCATATCCAATTGCAGAGATTCCCTCCACCCACCCCCAGTCCCCACTTCTTCCAGAACCTAGAAGGTCCCAAGTTGGGTGTGTGGCTGTTGGAGCTCTCAGGTGGGGACTGTGTTCTCTGACTTGGCCATTTGGGTGGCTTCATTGCCACATGCCCTAGTTTCCTATTTTTAAATCATGTTTATTAGCTGACCTGCCTGGAAAGGGCTCTCTGGTCTGCTGGGAAGAAGCCCCCTGTGAGCGTTAGATTTTTCCTGCCATCCTGGGTCCATCAGGATGGTTACAAGTTGCAAGTTTTTTCTTTCATTTCATTTTGTCTGGCTAAATGTTTTTCATAAGCAGAGGGACTTTCAGAAATGAGGGTGCCTCAGCTGCATGAGCCATCTGTAGGGATCAGGTCTCCAACCTTCCTGTCAGGCACATTTTGACAAAGCCTCTCCTGTGCAGTCCCCAGATGCTAATTCACTTGTCACACCACCTCCTCCACCAGCCTCCCTGCTGCCTCAGCTTAATGATTTCATTTAGACCTAATCATCTTCTCTGTAACCAGCTAATACCTTCTTTCTCCCCACGCTTCTTCCTTCCCACTGGCTGATCCCTGTCCATCCCTGCTGAGTACTGGTGGGCAGGAATGTTCTCCAGATGTGCTGAGGAGGTTGGGGGTTAAGAATGAAGCTCTGGACAAGCTGACTCTTCATGATTCGGCTTCTCCTTGGTTTATGCTGCTGTGCAAGCCCAACCAATGTCTTCTGGGGAAGAAAAAAAACCAAAAAACAAAACAGCAGCTCTGCTCTGCAGACACACAGAGCAGGGACAAGTGCTGAGGTCTGCTAGCTTGCTGAAGCAGGTGTATTGTGTTGATGAAGTAAGGAGTGGTGCCCCTTTTGTAGCTGGTGGTTGGGAACATTTGTGTGAAAATCTCTCATGGAGGAGCAGGCTCAGGTCTGGTGGCCTCAGGGGTGAATCTTCAAAGCATCACTGAGGAACAAGAGGATGAGCCTGATGGTGAGAAAGCTGCCCTCTATTTTGAAGGTCTTGGAGCTACCCAAACTTCATCTTTTATTTATTTTATTCTCTCTAGTGATTCAAAAATGACAGCCTGGTAGGTGATATAAAAATATCCCCAAGGTTGTCAGTTTGACATTAAAATGTCAGAAAGCATATGTCTTGTTCTCTCCTAGTGCTGGCAAAAACCAGCACAGGGTATAAAAATTCCAGCTGTCTACAGACACTGTAAATAATAGTCATGCAGCAAAAAGTAGAATTCAGCCAAAATTTCACCTCTCTGACACAGCCCAGGCCCCGCAGGGAGCACAAGGATCTGTGCAGGATCAGCCACGGCTGCTTCTGAGCAGTGGCTCAGGAAACATGGGGCTCCCCTGAGCTCCATGGAGACCTCAGCTTTCCAACCTCTCTGCCTTTTTATTACCAAACTTGCCGTTGTGACCTTTGTGAGGGCCATGCTTAAAATCCTTGTCACCCTCTGGTCCTGCTCCACAGGGCACTGCTGTGCAGCAAGGGCAGGGACTGCACGGGTGCCTGGCCCTGCCTGTCTGGAGCTGGGTGGTGGGAAAGGACCAAGCAGAATCAGTCCCATATGGCTCCTGAGCAAAGTTCCTTCTTTGCTTTGGCAGTGGGGTAGGTTTGAAAGTGGACATTAGCTTCTGCTGAGGTCTGACTTGAGCACTGGAGGCTTTGGAGAGCATGGGATGGATCTGTGTGTGGGTGCAGTCTGAGGCACTAGGGGCTGGCTTGCAAATAAGGACATTTGGGAAAAGAGAATAGAGAGAGGCCAGATTGAAGAAAAACGTCATTGAGGAGGTATCAGTGTTCAATAAAGTCTCCCTGATGCCCTCTGTAGTGTGTGAGGGTCAAAGTGTTTGTCTAAGGGAGCAGGCCCAGAGCTGGAGCCCCACCAGCACAAGATGTAGAAGGGGAGAAGACAAGCAGGTCCTCTGGAAACAAGCTGGACTTGGTCACTTTGGCCCTTCTGCCATGCCCTGCCAGGACAGCAGTTAGATGAGCAGGTGAACAGCTCCATGTTTGGATGGATGTTGAAGGTGTTTGGGTGGGTTTGGCCAGGGCAGCAGGGAAAGCCCAGCCGAGCACTGTGGGCTGGTGGTGCTGCCAAGCAGTCACCAGTTCCTTGGCATGTGGCTTTGCTCATTCTTGAGGGCACTGGTGAGCTGCTGGTTCCTGGCAGCAGTCTGGTGTTCCAGGCATCACAAAGACTGTGTCTGCTGCTGCTGCTGCAGGGCAATAAGAGGTACAGGAGATGCCTGCTGTGGCCCAGCTCCAGCAGTGCTGGTTAACAGGGGTGGCAGATGGTTGTGACAAGGTTGCTGTCTCAGCTGTTTGTCCAGCTCTTTCTCAGGTGCCATCAGTGGTATGGGAATAAGCAGGGGTGATGCCCAGGTTACTATGGGGCTGAGGACTCACACCGTGGCCTGGTTCTGACTTGCTTTACATTTCCATATAATACACTTCAGTCTCCTTTTTCCAACTGGAGAAAAGTTTCAGTCTCAAAATTCACCTATTCCAAAGCTTCTCTTTCCAGCTTACCCAACATATAGCTCTACCTTCTCTTACAGGTCCATCCACACCCCCAAAATATGATCAGCAAGCAGTGACTCTTCAATTTTGTCTTTATTTCCAGATGCTCACGGGATGGACCTATTTGCTGTGGCCGTCCATGAGTTTGGCCATGCCATTGGCTTGACCCACATCTCTGCCATAGAGTCCATCATGAGACCTTACTACCAAGGCCCAGTGGGGGATCCCCTGAAGTATGACCTGCCTTATGAGGACAAAGTCCGAATCTGGCAACTCTACGGTAGGTTTGTGTCCCTCACGTGGCCACAGCCTGTTTCTGCCATGGGACACGCAGGCATAACTGCTTTCTGGGGTGAGTGGAGCTGGTGGGGAGGATGGTGTACCCCTCTACTGCTTCTTTGTTTTTACACCCAGGAGTCAGGGAATCTGTGTCCCCCACAGCCAAACCTGAAGTAACCAAACCTGATGACCACCCTGTCCTGCCAGAGCTGCCAGAGAACCGCTCCACGGTGCCGTAAGTCAAGTTCATTTCTTCTCAGCTGTCACTTATGCTCCTGCAAAGGACACGCAGGAGTAAAGCTCCACTTAAGCATCAGTATCTTGCTTGCCTGCTCTCTCTGGCTTCAGTATTTCCCTCTGGACCTCTTGTTTTCTGGAAAGCACACACACAGGCTGCCCCTTCTTCCTCACCCCTCCTGATCATCACCTGCTTTTTTTGAGCAGTGTGTGTGGAGACTGGCCAGCCCACCCACACCTGCAGTGGTTAAGAGCAAGGACAAGTGAGAGTAGCTATTTATCCCTTAGCTATTTTTTTTGTCATTTAAGGCATGTCCAGAAATTCTACATCATCTTGGAGTGCTTTGCATTTCCCTAAGACTCAAACTTTTACTCATGTTAATGGATATTTGTCCCCATCACCCTTAGGTGAACTCATCCTTGCTGATATTCTAATCAAACTTCCTCTGCATTATCCTGAACTGTGCAAGCATAACTTACCTAAATCTTTCCAAGGTGAGCAACTCCCTAATGTACCTGTGGGAGTGAATATTGGAACAAGTGGACCAAGGGTTTGACTCCAACACAGGTTTGAGCTGGCAAGGGACTGCTTACACTGAGCAACCAGTGTGCTCTCATTAGGGGAACTTCTGGTCCTAGCTCATTAATAAAATTTGGACTTTCCAAACTGTTTTACTACCAGGGCAGCAGGGCAACTAAAAGAGGAAGGGACACTGAACAAAATGGCAGAAGTTCATGGTCACCCAGATTTTAGCCAAGGGACTGGAAGGGTGGACAAGGTTCACCTCCACATCTGTCCTTTTGTGCCCCAAGAGGGCTGTGACCAGGTGCTGGCAGCCCAGCAGGACTCTTCTGTCAGCAAATTAGATTTTTGCTTCCTTGTCACCCACAGCAGCTTTTCTGTGCATGTTCCCAGCATCCTCTCCTTGTCCTCCATCAATCATCATTTCTCACACGGACCTTGTAGCACTGTTGGTTCTTCATATTCTGTGCCTTTCCCACCCACCTCGTTAAAGGCAGCTCAGTATCTCAGCTGTGACTTGCTAGATGGCTTTCACCATGTCTCAAATGGCATTGTCTTACATGGCATCATCTCCCTGTGTTTGGTCTTGTCTGCTTTCCACTTTGCAGCTCTGTCACCTCTCACTGGCATTTCAGAGCTCAGCCTTGCAGCAGGAACATCCCCAGCTGCTGGAGTGAGATGCTGCTTGGCTTTTATTCACCACTTGTCCTGCTGCTCAGAGGCAGACAGCTAAGCTGCACTGTGCCAGCTCTGTCCTCACCAGTTACACTAGCTGGTAGTTGTAGAGCATGTCCTTGCTTGACTCCCAGCCATGGTCTCCATGGCCCAGGGGGCATGTCTGCCACAAAGGTGTCTTGAGGCTGAGGGCTGCCCAAACTTGCCTTGGAAATCCCCATGTGTGGCTGGGTTTGAGTGTGAGGAACAAGAGATGGATACAGCCTGTGGTCTTCTGCTGGGGGCTCTAGAGGCAGGGGAGATGTGTTCCATGGGGCAGGGGACACTGAGGACACAGCCTCTGGCTGCCCACCTGGGCTGTGCTCACCTTGGGCATCTCTCTGCAGGCTCAGGCGGGATGTGCCCAACAGATGCAACACTCACTTTGACGCGGTGGCCCAGATCAGGGGAGAGGCTTTCTTCTTCAAAGGTAAGTGCCTGCTGCTGGGGGTCTCTGCTGTGTCACTTTGGTGCAGAAGGATTCCACCTGGCTGGTGGCCAGTCCCTCTCTGTGTCAGGGGCCCCAGCTGAGGGCAGGTTGGAGGGGTTCAGTGTGTGGAGAAAATCAGAATCTGGTTTGAACCAAGGATGCCAGAGCAACAAGAGCTCTCCACTGCTTTTTTTTCCTGGATGCCCCCAGTTTTCCTTTCCTCCCATGCTTCACCTTCCCTAATTCTGCTTGCTGTGCATGGCTCAAAGGCAACGTGCACACAATTGCAGAGCCACCTGGTTCTGTGTCAGCAGACACTCCTGGCAGTGTGTCCCCAGGCTGGCTGGCTGTTGATGTCCCATTGGTGCCTTCTCAGCTGTACAGAGCCCCTCTAGGCTGGACTCCATGGGCTTTCTCTTCTGTTTCCCAAGATGAAAAAATGCCCACTAGGCACATCTTCTCATCCCTGACCACCATTTAGACACCTCACAGCCATCCAGCAGAGGAACGGAAACATTTCCTCCAGGGATCAGGAGCAGCATCCAGGCACCCATCTGAGTATTGCAGGGTGAGTCTGGGGTCACAAGCAAGAATGGCAAGAGAGCTCCAGAGAACTTGATGTTGTCTGTGCCCTCAGGGCAGCACAACACAGAGCCTGTTCCCCTGCAGTATTTGTTCAGCTCCCAAAAAAGCCACAGTGAAGAATGGAAAATAAGACACAAGATCTGGTGTCCAGGATGAATGGCTGGCTGGCTGCCAGAGGGGGAAAAAACCAAACTGAAGAGAAATCCATCTCGGTGTCTATTCTTGGATATATTTATTATGGGCTAAAATGCCAGTGGAAGAAGCCCAGTGCCAGTGGGTGCCAGCTGCATGGCTGTCTCCAGAGCTCAGCAATTCCCTCACAGCCCCCATCGATGCCACCGAATCATTCTGGGCACCAAGGAAGAGGGATGTTGCCTCTTGGGCAGGATTTTAGTGACCTCCAGTGATGCAACCCCTCCACAGAGGGACATTCTGTTCTGAGCTGCTCAGGCTGCATCCCCAGCCAGAGAGCAGCTGCTCCCTCTGCAAAGACACCAGGACTGGAACTCCCCAGGGCTGCCAGGCTTGTCGTATTGAAGGCAGCCATGGGTTCTCCACACTTCCAAAACTGCTTGTGCTGATTTACGTGTCTTGCTACAGACCCCTGAAGTTTTAAAACAGCTCTGGCCTGTTGTGTCTGCTCGGTGCGTGCAGCAATCTTGCCAGAGGCAGCCCAAGCACAGAGAGCCTGGTACACAGCTGGGCTCCAAATCACCTGGCATTAAAGAAAGCAATTGCCTCAACTCATCATCCATATAAAATGAGATGTTTGGGCTAGCAGGGCTTTACACTTGGCTTTCATCCTGCTCAGTGTGCCAACTCGGCACACTCACTTTTAAATCAAGCTTTTTAAACAAACAAGGAGTTGAGTTTTATTATTTTTTTAAATCTGATTATATTTCTGCAGTTCCCCCATGGGTCTGGCTTTGGCTGATGATCATCCAAGCAACCACAGCACTTTGGCCATCAGGCTTGGCCGTGGCAAAACATGAGCAGGGGAAACTGGGGCTGTTGCATTAATAATTCCTTGTTACTTAATTGCTGTAATTCTTTGCTTTTTCCTGGTAGCCTGTCAAAAAAGCAACCAAACTAACCAATAGCTCAGGCTATGCCTGACTTTGAGGGTAGATTGAAAGCTTGCTTGCTGAAGTTGCACACCCACTGAGCCCATTGCTGGCAAAGGGTTGAAACATCAAAAGCACTGGGGCTTCCCTCCTGGTTTCAAATGAGCCCAGGGCACTCCAAAGTTCAAACACTTCCCTACTAAAGAAGGAATTATGTTGAGCTTTATCACTTGTTAAAAAAGTAAAAAACTGGCTTTGTCTCATGCCTCACTAATTAAAGATGCAGAGATCATCTTTATTTAATTACATGTGTTTCCATCGATGTACAATGGCCACCAAATTTGAATCTTTTTTTTTTTTTTTTAATGTTCTTAAGAATCTGTAATTATGGCAGTTCCTTCCATTTTTGAATGTATTATTCATTTGTGGGTTTCAGTCAGACACAGCAAATACGTAGACTGGAGCAGAACAACAGGAATATGATATAAATCCTTATAATTAGAATAAAAACCCCTCTCTGCAGATGTTTAAGTGCTAGAGTTTTGCCTCCTGCATTATTAGGCAAAGATCCAATTTCCATAACATTTTAAAAGATGGTGTCACAATCTGCCTGCTCTGGAGAAAGGGCTGAGTGTCATGAATACAAATCTGAAGATGCATCTTTGGCTTCTGATGCTTATTTCCCCCTTGGGAATCCACGCAAGAACAGATGTAAATAACATGCAATAATTTCTAACAGGCAATAATAAATACAAGTCAAAGTTGAGAGCTGGCTCTTAGACATCTTGCTCTGCTCACATCTCTCTGCGTGGAGCTCTCTGGGGAAAACACAGCACAGAGTGTGCTGCAAAAACTCAGGCTGAGATTCCCAGAGACATGCAGAGAGTCAGGTTTTGAGTTGCCCCTGGAATCATTAAGGCTCTTTCAGCAAGAGACCATTTGGTATCCTTCCCACAGAGGACAAAGCTGTTTGCATTACCCAAAATATCCCAGCAATACCCCAGGTCCCACTCTTTCTAGCTGGGGCAGCATTGATGCAGGTGCTGGAAGTGTTTGCTTACACACACACAGCCCCTGGGAGCAACCAGAGGATCAAGGTCCATTGCTTACACTATGCTTTGAAATGGCACCAAACTCCTTAATTTTGCCTCCTCCCCTAGTCCTTCCAGTTTAATTAATATCGTTTCCTCCTCCTCTATTTTCTTTAATTCACTAAAAAAACCCTCTGATATTTCCGTGTTTCACTAGAACATCACACACACTTCTAACTATGCAAGCAGCTGGGCAACCCTGCTCCAACTCAGCTGTGCAGCTTCACATCATGATCAGGAGTAGAACAACTTCAGTGCAACGTCTGGAGGATTATTTTGATCCCAAAAAGGGGATTTCTTCTCCTGGCTGCCAGAAATAGAAAGCACTAGCAGCTGCTCCTGGGAAGCAAGATGCCCCTAATCCATAGCTCCCATCTCACACGCTTTGCTTTCTGCTGCCGCCCTGTGCCTGGTGCTCACCTCCCCCAGCAAAGGTGGGTTGCAGTGTGGTTCAGTAATGTCCAGTCTGTTCCTCAGGCAAGTACTTCTGGAGACTGACTCGCAATAAGCACTTGGTCTCCCTCCAGCCGGCTCAGATCCACCGTTTCTGGCGGGGTTTGCCTCTCAACCTGGACAGCCTGGACGCGGTCTATGAGAGAACCAGCGACCACAAGATCGTCTTCTTCAAAGGTGAGAGGGAACACCATGCTACCTTGGCAGCATTTTGACCTCTTCTGCAGGCAGAAGATACCACTGTCAGCCATTAAGCATCTCCCAAGGCAGGTCCAATATCTGTTGTCCAACTCACAAGGTGAGAAGAAACCAGCGCATAGGGAGGTCAGGCCAAAAGCAGACAAAATAAGTGTTAGAATCCCCTCTTTGAATATTTGAATATATAAAAAAAAACAAAACAAAACAAAAAAAAGTTTCTTTCAGAAGAGCTGGAAGGAGATTTGAAGGTTCCTACATCAATGTCCAAGTCCCCCCACAAACTATCCATCCATACTGGCTAGATGTTACCTATGTGCCCCTGGCAGGCACTGGCTCTTGTTTTGGAAAGGTTGTGTGCTTGATGAAGAGCTAAATACACCCCAGCCTTCTGTGCTCCCCAGCTCAAAATTGGTTTTTGTTTCCTGACTGATCTGCTCTGAGCGTGGTGCAATTACTGGTTTCAGAAGTGCTGAACCAAGTACTTCTGAAAGCAATAATTTGGTTTTGATTCCTCCGGTGAGGCTGGAGGGACGGGTGCAAACCCCTGTGCTCACAGAAGTGCTCCTGAGTGCAGCCAAAGCCCTTCCAGGCTTGGCACGCAGAGTCCTGCCAAGCCCTGAGTCTCCCCAGGGAACAGCAAGCCACAAGCTGCCTCCAGCAGCCCACCCCACTCTGTCTTTCTGCAATCCAGAGGGAATGGGGCTGGCTGGAGCACAACAACTCTTAGAACCAGCACCAGATCCTCCCCATCAGCTCTGCAGACTGCAGTCGCACTCCCTCCCTCCCTTCCCCTCTCTCTCTGCCAAATTGGGCCTGTAAGGGCAGAATTCCAGCTGTGCCACAGCTGGGGTCTTGTCTCTGCAAACCACAGTGCTCTATAGCCTCACATGAGGTGTGTGTTAGTCCTGCCTAGCTCTGAAGATTAAACTCAAGGTTTCCCTTCCAGCTACAAAATACTGACTCATCCTCTCTCCAGTGCAGCTCCTCTGATCCCTGGGCAGGAACCAAAGCACATAAACTGCCCCAGCTGCTAAGGTCCTGCTGCTGATACATAGGCATGTATTTAAGTGCCTGGCCAGATTTTCTAGAAAATTAAGGATGAAAAGGCCTGGTTCTTAAAATAGGCTGTGTGATACCCAGAAGGGCACTGCAGGCTCCCAAAGAGACATTGCACAAACAGAAACACTGTCCCAGTGGTTAGAGGATTATGCAGGAATTTAGAGATCTGGGTCATTGCTCTGCCACAGACCGTGGGCCATTCATGTTGTTCTTCATTTTTATCAGAAAAAACCCCATATTAACAGTTCTCCTCTGCCCAGGATAGGGCTGGGAGTGTGGCTGTGTAGGACACCTGAAGAAGAGTGAGCTGCTCAGATGGGATTTATCCAGCCCCTGTGCATCCTCAGGTTTCTTAAAACCCACAGGTCCTTCAGCCTCCCTGGCTCCAAATAGTGTGCTGATTTCTCTTCCAAAGTGGGACTACACTTTGCTCCTCAGGAGCTGAGTAGCAGGCAGGTAGAGCTCAACTTGCCCACAAAAGCTGCATGTAACTTCCTGCTTCTTGAGCAGAGAATCAGGTAGAAATCAAAGGGGCAGAAACCCAAGTGCCAACATCAAATGCATAAAGCAACGACTGCACTAACTCTGCTGCTGTGTTGGTGTCCTGGGGCTGTCAGGCCTGCAGCCCTTAGGAGCGAGGCAGGGATGCTCCACGGAGGGCCTGACACTAAAAATACAGCTACTCAAAGCTGCAGGTTCCCCACCAGGCTGCTGCCTTCCCCTGCCCACCCTGCAATGCCAAGAGCTCCGTCCTGAGGATTGTCACAGCAACAGATAATGAAACATCAGCTGGTCCGCGGGGGAAAGCTGGTTGTGAACCAAATGTGATTTTGCTCTGTGCTTCTTTCCTTTCCACAGGAGACAGATACTGGGTCTTCAAGGACAATAATGTGGAGGAAGGATACCCACGGCCCATCTCGGACTTCGGGCTGCCCCCGGGAGGAGTCGACGCTGCTTTCTCCTGGGCCCACAATGACAAGACTTATTTCTTTAAGGACAATCTCTACTGGTGCTACGATGACCATGAGCGGAGGATGGAACCCGGCTACCCCTCAGAGAACATCCTGTGGAAGGGAATACCAAGCCCTTTAGATGATGCCATGAGGTGGTCAGACGGTGAGTCTGTGCTGCTTCAAACAGCACCAGGGAAAGACTCGGTGCTTCATTTGTACTTGAGCTGTAGCCCCTTGTTCAGTCCCTGCTGACAGAAAGTGGGATGACAAGCAAGTGTCTGAAAGCTGAAGAGGGAGGTGGGCCAGAGCCCCCCACACCACTCACTAATAGACTTTGTCATTTCAAGCAGGAGACAAAAATATCTTGAGGGCCTAATAATGTGACTTTATTGAAAGAGCACAGTTGCTGTTGTTCTGCAGTGTTTTTTATCCTAATACATGCTGGTTTGCTCTTCACTGAATTTGCTGTCATTGGATTTTTATCCAGATATATGAGGCTGTGGACAAGATTTTTAAAAGCTATGTTTTCCCAGAGTTACAACTTATTTTCTGGGGATAAGATTTCTCAGTGGTTTCTACTTCCTGAAAAGACCACAAAAAATTTTCATGGGAGATGTTTAAAACCAGCTATTTGCTCACAGCAAAGTGGCACTTCCAGTTTTTATTTACTGCTGACCTAGGGGTGTAATAGCAGCCAATAAATCAGGCTGAGGGGAGGGATGTTTCCAGCAGCTTTTCAAACTGAATTTCTGAAGCAGGTAGGAGTCCTACATGAGTGTGGGACCTGCTTAAAGGATACATAACCTCCCAGTTCAGAGTGGAAAAAATGCATCCAAGAGCAGGCTTTCAGGGCCCTGCCAGGCTCAGGTTATTTATTTGAGCCCAGGAATAGCAGCAGCAGCCAGGTCATTAATGGGAGGTGAGGTCTTCTTCAGCCTCACCATGCCCTGTTATAAAACTCTCCACTGATGGCCACTAAGAGATGTGTATGGTGTTCTCAGCCATGGATTTACTAGAGCTTTTACCCTGTACACCATCAGTACAATGGGATGCAGCTGCTCTTACACCCACCACAGAAGAGGTGACATCTCACAACACACCTCTCACCTGTCTGGTGGCTCCTGCCTGCCGTGGGATCCCAGCTGGGTATAGCATCATCTTTTAGAGCATCCCACCAGCAGCCACTGTGCTCTTGTACTGAGAGGGTGTTGGCACCCAGCAGTGGGTGTCATGTGTCATATTGCATGTGCCTCCTCTCCCTGGGGCTCAGCCAGGGTGGGAGTGCCCCTCTGCCCTTTCCACTGGGACCATCAGCACTCATCTTGCCTTTGGGTTTTGATCTCTTCACAGGTGCAAGTTACTTCTTCAGGGGCAAGGAGTACTGGAAAGTGCTGGACAGTGAGCTGGAGGCACAGCCCGGCTACCCCCAGTCCATCGCCCGGGACTGGCTGGTGTGCAGGGACATGCAGTCCGACTCCCCCGAGGCAGCCGGGAGCAGCAGGACTGGGGCACGATCCAAACCGGGGCAGCACGATGAGAGCCGCTCAGAAAACGGCTACGAGGTCTGTTCCTGCACCTCGGCTGCCCCCCGGCTCCGGGCCTGCCCCGAGCCCGGGCTGCAGGGCAGCCTCCTGCTGCCGGGGCTGTGGACAGCAGCGCTGCTCTGCGCAGCCCTATGACATCTCGGCCCACCAGCGACACGCGCCGTGGTGCTCCAGGGACTGGAGATGGATGGGATCTCGTGACCATAACTGTTACAAGCAGAAAAACATTCCTAGGAACGTGCCAGTGAGGGGGTTGGATTCTCCATGAGAATTGAACAATGTTTTTTGACTTTATTTTCTTCTCAGTTTTAGTTTAAAGGTCTAATACAGATGTTGAGTTCTGCACCTTCTTACTCCCCCATTGGGTTACAGGTGAGAGCAGCCTAACACTGAAGTTGGAAATGTTCCGTAGGGATGTGTGGCTTTGGGTGTGTAAACGTGGCAAACGAGGGAGGGGAGAGCTGCCAGGATGGACTGGGAACAGCAGAGATGCTGCTGAGACAGATGGCAACATCCCAGAGGAAAGGCAGCAATGCTGCAGGGGAGAGGCAGCAGTTAGATGGTGACACACGTAACATCCTGGTGGGTGTACTAGGTAGACAGAAACTTTGACTCCACTAAGATTAACTGCAAGGTGATCATTTCACTGTCAGACCTGCGGTGGTCACTGATGTCTCAGTAACCTGTAGCTGTTTCTACAGGTCAGAAACACCTTTGCCTTTCAGAAGGCAATGGAGCTTATCTTTGTACCCGAGTCATTCAAAAGTAGCAGTTGCTCTAAGAAACCCAAACCACAATCTCCCAGTCCTCTGCCAGACCAAGCCTGCCACCTGCAGCCAGGTGCTGCCTTGCTGGGGGCAGCCGGGTGAGGAGCAATCACACCCACTGCTCCAGCCTAATCCGTTCACATGAACTCCCACTCTTGGAGCTCCTGTTTCAGGTTGTTTTACGTTCTGGGAGGGATCAAGATGTATCACATTGATTTGTGACTCTCTCATACCTGGCAGAGGATGGGCAGGGGAGAGAGATGCTGCATGTTCAGCCTCAGAAGTCTTCTTAATGCCTCTGCCAGGAGCTTGCAGTGACAGAAGCAAGGTCAAGTGCTGCTTCAGGATGTTTCTGAGTTGTTTTTTTTGTCTCCCTGCTAATCCATTTTCTGTGACATAATTTGGGCATCTGAGAGTCCCTGAAAATGGTGAGTATGTTGGAAATTGAAATAAGGATGTCAAGAAGCCCAGGGTCCTCCGGTCTGTTGTTGTCAAGGGATGGTAAAGGAGAGAAATGAGCAGCAGCCACTGGGACACTCTGTTCTTCTCTGCCCTGCTTCTGTAAAGCTCCTACAGAGATACCTCTTGCTGCCTCTGCCAGAGCCAGCTCCTGGGGGAGAGCTGGCAGCAGGCAGGATGCTGCAGGCAGTGTCACTGTGACAGCATGAGACCCAAGGCTGGGTCCCCAAGCCCCACAGCCAGCCAGGACATTAGCCACAGGGCCAGGCATAATGACAAGCCCTCCATGGCACAGCAGGAAAGGGGTGAAACGTGCACAGTTCCCTCCTGATAGGTCACCTTGAGTTTCCATCTGGGCTGTTTGCATTTTTTAATAGTTTCACTCATTCACAGGGTGCAGCTGTTTTCAGGACCATGTGCAACAGTGCAAATTTGTGAGGCATGTGTCAATGGAAACCTTCCATTAAACATCCTTTAAGAAAACAAAACAAAACAACAGAGAATTCAAAAAAACTCACATACAGCAGCTCCTTCTGCTGAGTAAAGCTGCCTCTGATGTTCCCACTTTCCAGTCTTGATCTGCTCCCAGCAGTTCCACATCCCAGCTCTGCCTACCAGGCCAGGCAGGGCTGCAGGAGCAGGACATTGTGTTGCCATCACGGGAGATGGGATTTTCCTTCTTACGTTCGCATCGTTTTTCTTCCTTCCCCCTTTTGAGTCAAGAAGAAAAAGCTTTTAGTCCTTGCTGGGGTGACACTGCATGTGCATCAGCATGTTACAGGCTCCTCTTGGAGATGAAGCAGGTAGGAGCATCTTGGAGAAAACACCTGCTCTCTTTTTTTTTTTTTTTTTTTTTTTTTTTGCTTTTTTTGTTTGTTTGTTTGTTGTTTTGGTGGGTTTCTTTTTGTTCTTCTATGAAATAAATACCTGGAAGCTGCACCTGAAGGACAGGAGAAGGCAGGGACATGACTAACACTGCTCCCATGGCTTCTCCAGCCCAACCGAGGAGCCTGGGGTGGTGGCAAGGACTGGTGGCCCTGCAGCCACCCTGCTGTGGTCACAGGGCTGCTGGGACCCACGCTGACAGCACCTCGAGTTAGATTCTGTCTATTTAACATGGGGGGGACTGTGATTTATAAATAAAGCCTGTGGAAGGGCTTCCAGGATGCTCTCCTCTACTTCAAGTTATGCATTTAGGTGAGCAGAAATGGAGCAGGAAGGGGGGGCTCAGC